CAAGGCTTCTATTTCCTCAGCCCTACTCCCCATTCTCCGCTCCATCCTTGGCCATCTGGCTTCCACCTCCAGCGCCAGCCCCAGCCCCACTCCATAGAAACCGCTCTCTCAAAGGTCACCAGCCACATCCTAATCACCAGCCCTCACAGCCTTTCAAGGATCCTTGTCCTCTGTATCTTCCGTTGTGCTGCTGGCACCCCACCTCCATGCTGTTTCTTCCCTCCATTTTAGAAACACCACAGTTTCTGGGTTCTCCCCCTGACTGCCCGAGCAGCCCTCCTCTCTTCCCACCCAATGTAGGCATTGCCTTGGATTTGTCCTTGGGTCCTCCTCTCTTTTCCTCTACTCTCTCTTCTCTTTTTTCGGTCTCCCCTGAGAGGTAGAAGGAGAGGGATGAGGAGACGGCCTGGGGGAAGCCTATGCAAAAGTGTAGAGACTGGAGATAGAATTTAGAGTACAAGGAACAGAGCCATTTGGGCAGAACCTAGAGAATTTGTCGAGGGGAGAAAACATGGAATGGTTTCAGAAAGACATAGCGAGGCCAGACTGGAGGAGCTTTAAATGAGCAGGGGGAAGCCACTAACTTTCTTGAACCAGAAGGACGGCCACACGAGGAGCCCCTGGAGGGCATCAGGGCCTGGGCCTCATCTGGACTTTCTCCCTTCTCCCCACACCCAGCAGGCATACACTCAGCGCTTGGGCATCACCTCACCAAAAAGGCAGACAATGTAAGGGGATCTGGTGTCCATATGTGGGACACAAGTGACCTTCCCTCATCCCTCATCCCTCAAGTGCATCATGGCCCTCCAAACCCTCTCCCTTCTCTAAGATATACACACACACTTCTCACACACACTCACACATGTACAATTACACTGCGCACAATCACATACACACAATTACACAGGCATACAAACATACATGAACATACACATATACACAAATACACACCATATATGCACAACCATACCCGCAGAGTTGCCACCTTCTCCTCTAGGTGGGCATAACATCCCAGAACAGTCACTGGAGGGTTGGCCAAAGGTGGTTCAGACCCATCCTGCTCTGCTTCCCAAACAGGCCTTGGCTAAGAAGTCGCACGTCCTCCGGTCTCACTCTCTCCCTCCTGAGCCCAGACGTTTCTTGTGCAACACTGACTCCAGCTAGCGTGTGTCTTTCTCTCACCTTCTGGTTCCTTGTAACTGTGGAGGAAACCAGAACCCTATGGGAATGAGATGAAGTCTTGCTGTCTGCCACTGTGCTTGTCCCAAAGATGCTTTCATCTCGCCTACAGATGAGCCCCAATTCCAACCCTTTCATCCAATGTGACACAAAAGTCTGTCATGCCCCCTCGGAGCTTCTCCCCCAGCCTAGCCCTCTCCCTTGCCTTGGAACAGCCTAGAGCGACCACTGTCGTGGGTTTTGGGAAAATCCTCTGAGCCTGCGGTCAGAACACCCTAGCTCAGGAGCCCCCAGCAGGAGTAGCCTTGCCATTTCCATCCAGCCAAGCAGAAACAAGTAGCGCTTTGAAAAAACACTTACTAAGATGGCATAAGAAGAGCAGGTGTTTCCAAGTAACCTCCCCCTACCACCGCCACCGCAAACCTGAGGCAGATTCTCCCACTAAGACCTGCGGGGACAAGGAGCAAAAGCTTCAGCACAATCCAAGTGCGGCGCAGGTGTAGGGAAGACGCCTGGCTGTGGCAAATTACAGATCCTATTACTGCGGGGATGAGAAGTCCCTTCTCCTTCCCAGGAGTCCTCCTGCTCCTCCCCCAGCTGCAGCAGCTCTGCGGCGCGGCTTGCTTCTTTGGGTTCCCAGGGTCTGCTCTTTACAGCCAGCCTCTGCTGACAGGTGGGCTGGCTCTTGAAGCTGTTGGCCACCTTGAGCAACGTTTCTGTAGTCACATCTGCTTCAAATGTGATAAGTGAGTCTCCGAGTGTCCCTCAATTTGGGCCTCGGACTCTTCAAAGTGCTGGGGAAGGTGGCTCCTGGCCAGGTGGCTGCCAGACCTGGATGGGGGACAAAGTGAAGACAGAAATCTCTGCTCTGATCCTTGACTGCTTGCCTCTCTCTGGGACTATTTAAAGGCCCCAAAGGGCATGGCTAATTTGCTTCCTTGAATTCCATTGTAGAAAGGTGTTCCCGCATCATCAATCAGATCAGCCCATCTGGTCACCTTGGGACCACCTAGTTATCTAGTCTTTGCTTCCTGCGACTATGGCAGCTGAGGAGTGCTGGGAATCTCCTTCTTTAGAAGTCCCTTTATCCACCCGTAGGATAGAATAAGGGCAGGCTAACGATGTAACCTAGAACCATTTCTATCTGAGCTCTGTTGAGCGTAAAGACAAGAAGAATAAAAAGGTGTCAACCACAAACGACACATCTCTGTAGAAACAGACCTGAAATCTCCTTGAGGATGTGACAAATAAGCTTTCCTGGGACCAGGCCACCATCCCAGGTTAAACTGTGGCCCACCATCACTCGGGTATAGCATCAAGCCCCAAAAAACTAACGACATTTTAATGGTGATCATTGTACCAGACTCCTAACGTCCATGATACTTGGTGGGGTGTGGAGTGGAGAGTAGGAATAGCATTCAAAATACAGGGAAGGATCAAAACCACAGGGGAATAGGAGGAGGTCCAATCTAATCCAATAACCATTTATTAAGAACCTATTATGTGCCAAGGCACCTTGCTAAGTCCTGAGCATACAATTAATAAAAAGACAGTCTCTACCCCTCAAAGAGCTTATAACCTAACGGGGAGGGGGAAGCCAACACAAAAAGAGGAGGCAGGAAAGGGGGAGGCTGGAAGCTACCCATTCCCCTGGCAACTTGTTCTTTCCAGTTGAAACCAGAAGAGCAGCAGATAAAGAGTGGAGTGGGCCAAATGACTGGTTTCTGCCCTCTATAAAGAAGGCCTTGGGAGGAGTTTGGCATAACTCCTGCCTGCCAATCAGAGGGGTGGGGAAGCTGAGGGAGGTAGTGTCAATCAGGACTTGCATTAGCAGCAAGCATTTAACCTGGGAGGGGGCATCTTATTCCCTGGAGTTGAAACCAGGCAGATTAGCAATATCGTCCCCATTGTCTCTTCTGATTGAGTTGCCTCACAAGGATACTTTTGTGGCCTACCAAGCCTTAAATCCTAATGCATTTATTTTCAGTTATGGAAAAAGAGCCATTTTCTCCACCTGCAAAATAATCCACAGAACATTAAATATAAATGAATCATAGCAACTTGGTCAGAGACTATAATTATCCAAACGCCATCAAAAAAAGAATAATATTAATAGAAACATAAATAATAAGTAGCATTTATCTGCATGTCAGGGATTAATAAGACTTGTTTACCTCATCTCATTTGGCCTATTATTGAGCCATGCTTCTATTAATGTATATGTAGGGAATCAATTTTTTGACCCCAAGTGTAAACTTTACATTTATTCCTTTTAAATTCCATTTTATTTGATGCAGTCCAACATTCTAGCATATTGAAATTTCCTTTTGGATCTGGACTCTGTCATCCCTAGAGATAGCCCTCCCTCCCAGCTTTCCAGGTCCATAGGTGCAATGATGGCACCAAGCATGCCTTCATCTGAGTCTTTGACAAAGACAATGACTATCACAGGAACAGGGACAGATCCCTGAGGTACTTCTCTGGAGACCTCCCTGCACATTGACATCTTTGGACCAAGCTCCTGTCCCATGGTGGATTCCACCATGCAGGCCAACTTGCCTTCCTGCTGACTCAGCTCCCCGACTCTTTCTTAATTAACACAAAGAGGTGCCTCGTTTCTCTGTGTGTCAGAAACAGATGCTATTTACAAGGAGCAGATGGGAAGCCCACATTCAGAGCGGTTAATAAATCCATGCCTGAAAGTCGCCACATTCTAAAATAACCCTGGTTCAGTCTGAGCAATGCGGAAAGGAGCCCACCCTAGGCTGTTGGCACTGTGATTTTCATCCATTCAGTTAACCCCCTGCTCGTTACGCTCTCTGTCCACTGGGCTCGGCTAACAAGGGAGACTTCATGAAGGCAAGGGCCAGAAGTCATTGTCAGAGGTCATCTCATCCAACCCCTTCATGAGCCTGGAATGGCCTCTTCAGTGTAGTCATAGATCCCGGTAAAGGAGGAGCGCCTTAGAAATCAGAGTCCAACCCCCCTATTTTACAGCTGGGGAGACTAGACGAGGCTTAAAGAGGGGGAAGTGATCTGCCAGCGCGCACAGAGGTAGTGAGGTCACACTTGAACCTGGGTCTCCTGACTCCTGACCTTACTCTCTTACTACACCATCTGCTACTTGAAGACCTCCAGTAACAGGGAGCTCACTCGCTCCAAGGTATTTGTACATTTTTGGACAGCTCTAATGATCACTTTTTTTGTGTGAGACATTGGGGTTAAGTGACTTGCCCAGAGTCACACAGCTAGTGAGTGTTAGTGGCTGAGGTTGGATTTGAATTCAGGTCCTCCTGACTCCAAAGCCAATGCTCTATCCACTGCGTTAATGGTCACTTCTTGAGAGAGGTCTTGAAGGACAGCAAGGGAGGGGTCATTCTATGTAAGGCTCACCATCAGCAAAGGGGCAGACACAGCTGAGCGTGGCGCATGAAGAGGGCATTGTGTGATGCCAGCAAAGTGACTTGCCCAGGGTCACACAGCCAGGTCGAGTCAGAGGCAGGCCTTGAGCCCAGGTATTGACTCCCAGGCCAACTCTTTACTCACTTCACCACACTGATCCTCATGGACGTTGTCCCCACCACTACCCCCACTGTCAGCCCTCTCTCTGGTCCCTGTACAGCAGGTGATGGTTTACAGAGTGCTTTACATACCTGATCTCATTGGATTCGCCCCCCTCCCTTGAGCCTCAGTTTTCCCTTCTGTAAATATGAAAGAGCTCAATCAGACCCGCTGATGAGTGAAGTAAAGCAAAGGGCAGTGTCCCTTCTCGCTCCAGTATCTTTTGGGGGTAATGCCCATTTTTCTCTTTCTCTCGGCAGCAACTACACTGCCTTGCTGGGCGTCTGGATCTACGGCTTCTTCGTGCTGGTCTTGCTGGTGTTGGACCTTTTGTATTACTCGGCCATGAACTACAATATCTGCCGAGTTTACCTGGCGCGATGGGGGATCCAGGGGGCGTGGATGAAGCAGGGCCCCGGCCGCTGGAGTAAGCCGGCTCAGGGTCCGAGCCCCGCTCAGCCTCCATCCCCGGCGGCGGCGCCCCCAGCCCCTGCGGCCTCTGCTTCTGCGGCGCCCCCCTCCAGGCAACACACACTGGCAGAGGAGACACGCTAAGCCCACCACCGCTCATGTCCTTTCCGAGCTCCTCGGCCTGGTAAGTGCTCAAAAGACGCTGGAGAGGGGTGAAGTCCAGTGGGGGCTGGGCTCCCTTTCACAGGCTGCTGTGGTGCGACAGGGAGGGTCCGTCGTAGGGGCCGGTCCCTCTCCACCTTGGTCAGGACAGGGACATGCGCCTGTATTCTCCAGTCAAAACGACCCACGTTTAGAATCATAGTTATAGAGCAAAGCGACCTTCGAAGTCATGGAGACCAACCCCCTCATTTTGCAGAGCGGGGAACTGGGGCATAGACAGAAGTCACTTACCCAAGATCACCCAGGAGCTAAATAAGAGAAGAATTTGAAACCGAGTCCTTGGACGCCAAATCCAGCCCTCTTTCATTTCTAGCGTGTCTTGAATTTTATAGAGCAATTTCATGGGAGAGGTAATAATAATAAACTGACATCAATATAGGGTTTTAATGTCTTCAAAATACTTCACTTATGATCTCATTTAACACTGGTATTTGAGGTAGGTGTGACAGCTGTTATCCACGTTTTACAAATGGGGAAACTGAGACACAAAAAAAATTAAGTGATTTGCCCAGTTTCACATAGCTAGTAAAATTCAATGGCAGAATTTGAACCCAGGTCTTCCAGACTCTGAAGGCAGTCCTATGTTTGCTATGCCACCCTGAAGGTAGACACCACACATGATGCTACCTCTCAGAAGAAGACCTGGTCTATACCTCCCAATAATCATAATTAATAATGAGAATAATGCCCCCAGCTGCCATTTTTTCTTGCATTTTCTGGCCACTGTGTGAGGGAGGTAGTGCAGAGATGATTGTTCTCACTTTAGAGATGGTAACACCATAGAAAACACATGGCCAAGGTCTCCCAGAGGGCTATCCCAGACCTGGGGCTCACACCCTGATCTCCTGACTTCAGGCCCAGTGATCTGCCCACTACTCCTCACTGCCTCCACAAGCTAGTGATAGAAATTGCATCCACAAAGACTTCTTTCCTGAGGTCATTTGTCTTTAGTGGACTTGATCTTGGGTACATTCACCCAAACTCTTCTTTAAATAGGTGGACTGTCTAAATGTCTCCTTCTAAGGCCTTTCCCAGCCCTGCCATTCCATGTTCTAAGGTTCCCTCCCAGTTCTGACATTTCCTGTTCTAAGGTTCGTCTCAGATCTAATATTCCATGTTCTAAGGCCCCTCCCACCTTGGACAGTCTAGAATAAACAGAATCAGAGCCACTATTGCATAAATAAGGACCCCTGCAGACCACCTATTGGTATAATGTTATCTATGTTTTATTGTATTTTTTTTCTTTTGTTAATATTTCCCAATCATATTTTAATCTGGTTGGGGCCACACTCAGGAAAGGGGATATGTTTGACACCTCTTGTCTAGAATGTCAAACAGTAGCATTCCAGAGTTCAGACTGAATATTTTTGGAATCTCTCCCAACGTTCCTCCATCATTTATAATTCCTAATGGAAATAATAGTAGCTCGTCTCCTTCTAGCATCTTAAGATTTACTGACCCCTTTGCTTTCAACAAATCTGTGAAATGGGTTATACAGTGCTCATAATCCCTATTTTGTAGCTAAGCAAACAGAGACCAGAGAGGGCCAGTGGTTCGTCTTAGGTTCCAGGCTGGGAATCAGGACCAGGCTCTAGATTTCAGATCCAGGGGTCTTCCCAGTTACTCTACATCCCCTTCCATTGCTTGGAGAGGTTCCTATCTAAATCGTATCGTGGAGAGGGCACTGTCTCAGAAGATCTGTGTTCAAATCCTGGCACTAATACTAACCAATTTATTTGTGTTTATGTCCTATTGAGATTGTAAAGCTCTTGAGGGCCTGATACTGACCATTGGGCACAGTTCCTTGTACGCACTTTTTAAGTGCTAAATGTTTACTTTGAAGCATCTCTTAGAGGTACGGTGGTGAAGAGAAAGGGACCCTGGCAAGAGGGTGGGAGCCTCTGGGGTTACATCCCCCATCTGCCATTCAAGGTAGGAATGATAAAAATGTGGGTGACCATTGAGAGGAGAGTTCTCTAGCTAGCAGGATATGGCTCACAAAGCAGTTTCCTTCCTGAGTGATCTGTCTATGCCTCCCTGTGTGACCTAGGCAAGGCAATTCTACCCTCTGGAACACAGCTTTTTCATCTGAAAAAATCAATTAATCTATTAGTATTTATTAAGCACCTACTATGTGCCAGGCACTGTGCTAAGCACTGGGAATACAAAGAGAGTAAAAGACAGTCCCTGCCCTCAAGGGGCTTGCAATCTAATAAGAGATACAACATGCAAACAAATACATACAGAGCAACCCAAATATGGGATAAATGTTAAGTAATTAACAGAGGGAAAGTACTCGAATTAAGAGGGGTTGGGGAAGGCTTCCTGGAAGAGATGAGAAAACGATGAGTTGAACTAGTCCAGGGTGGGGAGACTTCAGCCTCGAGGCCTCGTGCAGCTCCCCCGGTCCTCAAGCGCAGCCCTCCTCACTTGACCTAGAGGGCCGCCACATGGGGCCTCGAGGCCAGAGGTTCCCCGTCCCTGGACTAGACTGCAGTCACTGAGGCCCCTTCCAGCTCCTGTGACAAGGTCTCACAGCTAGTGAGGGGCAGAGGCAGGGGCAGGCTCCAAAGCAAGGCCCCAGGACTCCAAACCCAGCCCTCCTTCCACTTCCTTTTGCCAGCTTCCTTCCAGCTAGCTTCTTGGAGGGAGCTGAGTGACATCTGCCCCTTCTCCGGAGAAACAAAGAAAGCCGGCGGGGCTGCCATTTGTGAGAAATCCTCCTCTGTAATCTGTCTGAGGGGCTTAGGGGTGTGTGTGTGTGTGTGTAAGTGTGTGAGAGTGTGTATTGTGTGTGTATATGTGTGTGGGTGTGTATATGTGTGTTTGAGTATATGTGTGTGTATGAGTGTTCGAGTGTGTGAGTGTGTGTGTGTGTGTGTGTGTCGGGAGGGTGCTGTCGGGTCCGGTACGGGCTGGGGGAGGCAGGAGGTCTGTCGGCCAGCATTGCTCTGTTTATAAGTCACAACTTAAAAAGCAATCGGGTTGAAGTGGCTTGGCCCCCAGCCCGGGTGATTGATTCCCCCTGGCGGGGGAGGGGTCCCCACGACTCCCCAGGCCCGCGGCACATAAATCCCCGCCGCCGCAGCCGCCGCAGAGCGCCGCTTCCACTCCCCGAAACGGAGGGGAAATGCCAAATTACATTACAATGTAGTTGGGAGCAACCCTGGCGGCTGAATCCCCGTATCTGATTCCCCGGTAACCAAGTTAAGTAACGTTCTCGGGGAAAATGAAAGCAAATATAATTGGGGGGGGGAAATGCTGGCTGCACTTCATCCAGAGAGTTCGTCGGGCTTTTTTTCTTCGTCATCCTTTAATATGTAATGAAGCCAGACAACAAACTTCGTCCTGAAACACGCCCCGCCCCGCCCCCCCCCCCCCGGCTCATTTCCCTTCCAGGGTCTACGTTTCCCTCTGTTCTCCTGTTAGGGTCCTTTGGGAAGAATGGATCACTCACCTCTCTAGGCTGCTAAGCTTAGAAATATGATGAACCCTATACTGAAGGCTTTCTTCTTTCATTATTATTATTATTTCACTTTTCTGCTCAATAACTTTACTCGTGCTTAAAAAAATAAAAAAGATCAATTCACTTCGGAGTGAATCAAAACCAATTGGAGTCTCAGTAAATTTCCCCGGTGGGGCAGGTCAGGAGGCTCTGCTTGGCTACCCCTCCCCTTCATATGACACTCTTCCCAGCCCCGTCAGGACTGGGGCCAGGACCGAGGTCTGCCTAGGGCCAGATATAGGGGTGTCTTGGGGTTAAGTCTGAGACTTATCAAGACAGACCAGAGAAAAGCCATAGCCATCAGACCTGCACTGCGAGTTTCACATGGTGGAAAGAGCATTGAATTCATAGGCAGAAGACCTAGGCTCAATTCCAAGCAGTTCTGTTCCCTTGCTGTGCGACCTTGAGCAAATCACCCAGGAAATCTGGGCTTCAGTTTCCTTATCTGTAAAACTAGAGGATTAGATGAGACCACCTTGGTGGTCCCTCCTTCTATGATTCTAAAAGCTTCCTCCCTTCTAAGCCTCAGTTTGCTCATCTGTAAATTAGGGGATTTGTGCAAAGTCCCTCCCACCTCTGAGATTCATTCCATGGTTCTAGGCAGGAGACAACCATGCTGGAACATGGCACCAGCATCCAGAAATATGGGGGCCAGAGTTGTGAGCTGAGGTCCACAGAGCGGGTAGAAGCTACTTTGTTTGGGGCTGGCTCCAAGTTTCAGACAGACCAAGAGAGTAAGGCAGGTCTGAGTTAACAAAGACTTGGAAACAATTTGCCATATCTAGCATCTACAGACGTGCTGGTAAAGCCAGTCCTACCTTCCTGATTTTCCCCCAGTCACCTTCAGCAGGACTACTCCCTGTTCCACCCCACCCCTGCCTCCAACAGGACTGGCCAGGGAAAGAGCCTTAAATAATAGAATATAGGATGTCAGAGACAGATGGATTCTCAGAATAGAACATAGAATGCTCTATCTGGAAGGAACCTTAAAGGTTATCTTAACCTGGGGCCCATGAACTTGGAAACGTTTTTTAATAACTATTTCCATATAACTGGCTTCTGTTTGGTTCTGTGTGTGTGTTTTGCTTTGTGCATTTAAGCCATCATTCTGAGAAGGGGTCCATAGGCTTGCCCAGAAGGGTGAGTTGGTCAATGATACCGAAAAGGTCAGGGTTTGATAATGTAGCCCAAACACCTTTGATTTGCAGATGAATGAAACCAAGGCCAGAGAGAAGATGACGTGTTCGAGGTCCCATGGCCAGACCTAGAAGCCAGATATCCTATTTCCCAGTCAGGTGCTCCCTTCCTTATGCCCCACAAGCGCCCTGAGTTCTTTCACTGGAGAACCTTTTTGCTAGCATCGTGTGAACCAGCCCCACATCATCCCAACACTGCTGGCCTGGGATTTCCAAGGAACTGGGCGTTTCGCAGATCCTCTTGGACTGTCTGGAGCTCTC